ATACACAGAGTAAAAGAGCATTTCCAGGCCAACTGTACAGGATAAAGGACTAATCAATCTCCAAAATGGTTGCACCGATTTGTGCTTCCATAGCAGTATATGAGTTTCACTGTTCCAAATCCTCACCAACTCCTGGTTAGACTAAAGTTTTTGCCAATTGGGGGCCAGGCGTGGCGGCTCACACGCGTAATCCTAGTACTTTGGAAGGCTGAGGCGGGAAGATCGCTTGAGCCCAGGAATTTGAGGTTGCTGTGAGCTATGATGACACCACTACACTCTACCCAGGGTGACAGAGCAAGACTCTGTCTCAAAAAAAATAAAAATAAAAAATAAATACATATTTATTATCAAGTATTATGTACTGCACATAATTGCATGTGCTCTACTTTCATCTAACTGGCAGCACAGGTTTGTTTACACCAGCATCACCACAAATATGTAAGTAATGTGTTGCACTGTAACAATACAATGGGAATTTTTCAGCTCCATTATAATCTTACGGGACCACTATAGCACTTGTGCTCCATCACCGACTGAAAGGTCATTATGTGGCGCATAACTGCATGCGGCTCCAGTTAACACCTGGTTATGTTTTGAGATTTGTGAAAACATTGCCCATTCTGGCAGTATGATTTTACCACCTACCTGTTTTTCATTAACCTTATTTCTCTTTTCAATTGGGGGTCATCTGTCTTAGTTGTCTGAGATGTCAGAGTCACAGGAGATGTCATCACCACAGTTTGTGGCAGAGAAGTAGCTGAAGGTGTGGTACGAATCTGGTATGTCTGCATATCTCCCGATGCAGCTGGATGGTCGAAAAAGAGTTAGTTGATAAGTATCTTTGAAAGGACTTTGGGACACTTTATATAGACAGGTAAGCATACTTACTCTGTACTACCACTTGATTGCTGGGCACAAGTATTTGCTGTCCGTCAGAGGTCTGCGCATACTGGAGAATAGTTGTACCTTGCTGAGTATTGCCTGAATTTGTCATGGTTAATGTCTGAAGTCCCTGTACTCCATCTGTGCCTGGACTGGCCAACTGTAAGGCTCCATTTGGGGCAATGGCAACTTTAACCAAAGAGAGAAAACAGCTATCATAAGGTTATTCAATACACTAATTCAAAGAGGTGGCAAAAAAAAAAAAACCCCATAAAGTCTATTTATGAAAACAGGTCTGAATATAGTTCTACTGATAAATGTTGACTACTTTGGGTGAATTATATGTAAAGGAAATAAAATGGCATTTATTTATAGAAAATAACTCTTCTTCCTTCATACTTTGTTTCTTAGTTCTACTTTCTAGTGGTACCACTGTTAAATGTATTACATGTTATTTACTTAAGTGATACTTAAGAAATGTAATCTATTCATTCACTTCCTAGTGAAAATCACCAATTAAGTCATCAGAAAGCCACTGAATAGCTCACATTATTTAGCTCCTCACAAACACTTTTCACTGAATTGTACTTGTGTTAATACTTTCTACTCAGCCCTTAAATGAAATGCCCATAGGATGTGATCAAATAGAAAGCATTTTATTAGCATCATACAATTCCCACATAATAAATCCTCTTCAGAATTGAATGCTTCATTTCTGTATCTTCTTTTCAGATTATAATTATGTAACCTTTTTTTCCTTTTACACTTTGGCTACCAGTAAGCCAAAATATGTGTCTTTGTGTGTTTTAATTGAATATAATTTTTCTCATGAGTTTGTAATTATCCCTCCCAAACTGCTACACAGAAATATTCTCACAGATTTAATTTATATAACTTTAGAAAAATTAGACTCATTGAAAATTTTTAGATGCAGAGATTTTTTTTCTG